GCATCCTCCGTTTCCGTAGTTTCTCATGAAGCTCCACCGCAACCTACCCTCACCTCCCTATCTCATAGAATTTTGTGCATATAAAGCAAGCAGGATAAGTCGAAGTTAACCTGAATGATCTGACTCGCACAAAAGTCAGAAAGCGCTGTATCCACTCCAGAAGAACTGGTATATGCCAGACTATTTGGACCAGGACTTTAGCCTTACATGCAAGACATGACATAAGGGCTCTCTTTTCTCATCAGTCTTTTTGGGGATCTCTTTGTTTCTCCGTTTATCCATACTGATTGCTTAAAGGTAGTGTAGCCTCTTTCGTACCCCAAGCGGCCACAAACATGAAACTGGGCCCAATTGAACATTTATTCTATAAACCTGGTGCTCAAATGGGGCTACACGAGTCTCGAGCTCTTAAGAGGAATGTCAAGATGGTTCTGCTACTTGTCGGCTTGGCAGCTATTCTGCTCGATCTTCGCGCGTCCACAGTTGCAGCCTCGATTGTCACAGTCGGAAATGCGAAAGAAAACGGAACCGATGGCATAACCGACACCAGTCCTCATGAATACGACGACCCAAGTAACGAGCATGCGACCGGAGGACACGAGACGAAAGGTGAAGAAGAGGGGATCCGTGCGGCGTCTTGGCTGTTTGATGAGTTCTACATCCACATCACAATAATGGTATTCCTGTTGATCGTGATCATTCTGAAAATGGTCTATCATCGCTTAGAATGGCTGTCTGCCTATGTGCCGGAATCGCTAATACTCATTTGCTTGGGCGTCATCTTCGGCACCCTGATTCGATTTGCTCATGTAGACAGCAATATTGAGACATGGAAGCTGACGCCAAAGTTGTTCTTTGAATTCCTCCTGCCGCCCATTGTCTTGGAGTCAGCCTACAGTCTGTACAATCGGACCTTTGGTGAATTCCTAGGCATTATCCTCATCTACGCCGTCTTGGGTACCATTATGAACTTTCTCATAATCGGCCCTGTCATGTATGGCCTTGATCTAGTCGGAGCCATGGGTTGGCCGACGCTGCATCTGGACATCAAGGGCTACCTGCTGTTCAGTTCCCTCATCGTGGCTGTCGATCCCGTGGCTGTGCTGGCCATCTTCCAGGACATCGGTGTGGATCTTGGCCTCTACTATATGGTGTTTGGAGAATCGCTGCTCAATGATGCCGTGACTGTCGTGCTCTACCAAATCATGCAGGCGTTTGCCGGCAAGGAGGAGATTAGTGGTGAAGAAATTGGAGTCGGTTTCGCATCCTTCTTCACTGTCAGCCTTGGCGGTCTCCTGGTCGGTGTTGTGGTCGGTATTGCAACATGCTTCATCACCCAATTCTCCAGCTCCATGGAGGTGATAATTGTTCTGATGTTGGGCTATTTCGCCTACATCATGGGCGATGTGGTCGGCTGGTCGGGCATCATTTCCATGATCGGTTGTGGCCTCGTGCAGGCCTCCTACGCCTTCCATAATCTGCGTCCATCGAACGTGATGATCGTCAAGAAGGTGAGCAAAATGGCCGCCGAACTGAGTGAGGCCGTCATCTTTCTCTTCATCGGCATCGAGTTGTTCCGCGACAACATGATTTGGCATACGGGCTTCCACTTTTGGAGTCTCACTATGTGCTTGATCTCTCGTCTTATTGTAGTTCTTGTGCTGACTGCGATCATCAACTGGGTCAGAGTGGACGGTTTTAAGATTTCAATTACGGAACAGTTCATTGTGATTTATGGCGGCCTTAGAGGCGCTGTGGCCTTCTCACTTTCTGTGCTGATTCGTGAGGAGTCCCTGGGCCAGGGCCTTCTCGGGATCCGGCTAAAGGGAATCTTCATCACCTCAACTCTTTTCATTATTTTATTTACTGTTGGTTTTATGGGCATGACAATGAAGCCGCTGGTGAGGCTTCTCAAGATCAAAATGCAAGCCAACTTTGAATTGAGTCTTTTCAATAAATTGAATGAGCACATTTTAGATCAGGCACTAGCGGCCATCGAAACCATCAGTGGTGAGAAGGGTCGCAACGTGGTACGTGAATTCTGTATCCGCATCGATGATCGTTACGTGCGCCGGGTACTTCAGCGTGACCCAGAGACACATGATCAGAAGATCGTTAAGGTATACGAGAAAATGGCATTGAAGCTGCATTACGCTACAATTGGGGCCAACCAGGCAGAGCTGCATTTAGACGAGCTGCCCGAGACAATCAAGTCAAAACTGCTCAACAAGACCTTGTCGACTGCAAATTTCTTCGTCTCACCCTCCGAGGTCAATTTGGACGGCGTACAGCTCCAGCCGGAGACCCACTTCCCTGAGCCTCGGGATCACTTTGGACTACCTTCCAAGGACGGCATTAATGGCAAGTCTTCAATCAGGCAGCATGCCTATCCAAGCCGACAGAACCACGAGTTGATGGTGACACGTAGACGAAGCAGTTCCATATTTAGTCAGCGTGAACCGTTTGATGATCCTATGCAAATGATGGCTGCGCTACGGTGTTCGCGGAGGCCCAGTCTCATGGATGGTGGGAAGCATCAGGAGGAGTTTCAGCAGACCTTTTTGGAAATGATCCGTTCCAAAGGTCTGGCCCTGAAGCGCCACCCTCTATCATCCAAACTGTCAAATATGCCTGAAACGGCATTGGAAGAGACCAGACCGTCCTCAGTAATGGCGGTGCGATC